TAAAACACTGATCTGCCACACAAAAATGCGCTGAAGTCCCTTCGATATCACACGAGGACTTTGATAATTTTTACTCAACCATGAATAAAAGATCTTGTCGAAGGATACCACATTCCCTTTGACGGTACCCACTTCCGATGTCCCGTTCACCCGCAATTCGCGTTTGAAGATTTAACTCCACCATCAGTAAGATCGTGTCGGGGGCTACCACATTCCCTTTGACGGTACCCACTTCAGACGTCCCGTTCACCCGCAATTCGCTTCTATTGGCGACACGAGAAAGAGAGACAGACATTCGAGATTTACGACACGTTAAAACGCGTGACAGAATTCGCAACGGAAGGTAAGCCGACCAGCCAGCCAACCAGCCAGCCAAAGTGAGATTAAAAGCTACTTTTTACAAATATATTTGTAAAAGTAGCTTTTGTAAAAAGTAGCTTTTAATCTCACTTTGGCTGGCTGGTCGGCTGGCTGGCAGCAAATGTGGGCGCGTAGAAGAACTCTTGTAGAAAGGCAACGGGTGTACGTGTATCTACAAGGCCGTGTAATTTGTAAACCTTGGGGACAGGGCTACATGATGTGGGATTGGCGACATCTGGGCGTTATCCACGAGTGTAGTATACTAACGTGAAGGTTTTTCAGTTTTTTCCTATCTTCTACTACAGTTTTGGTCCGATTCTTTTCAAATTGGTGTCGTCGGAAAGATGTTGTAAACGCGCACAACTCCTGCGTTCGGAATTTTGTTTTTTGGCCTAGGGGCGAAATTAACGACCTTTTGCAAGGCGCGCGCGCGCGTCTTCGAGAGGTAGTCAACTTCGGGCACCTTTTACCTTCCGTTGCGAATTCTGTCACGCGTTTTAACGTTTCGTAAATCTCGAATGGCTGTCTCTCTTTCTCGTGTCGCCAATAGAAGCTCGAGCAATGAGAAGTGCCCCCCAAAAATTAAGTACTATCTTGTGGAAGGTTTTTAGCGAGATCCACCAAAATGTGGGTGTAATATAAGTATGCACCGAAAAAGGAAATGTGGTAGCTTCCGACAAGATCTAACTGATGGTGGAGAAAAATCTTCAAACGCGAATTGCGGGTGAACGGGACGTCGGAAGTGGGTACCGTCAAAGAGAATGTGGTATCCTTCGACAAGATCTTTTATTCATGGTTGAGTAAAAAGTGGCTAATAGAATACTGATCTGCCACACAAAAATGCGCTGAAGTCCCTTCGATCTCACACGAGGACTTTGAGGATGAATAATGAGGGGGGGAGGGGGGGGAGACAGAAACACAAGGAGGGAGGAGAGCCAAAATGCGCAACGCAATTGAGCCAGCGTAATGAGTCGCGGCGCCAAGCAGAGCGGTTTTGCGCCCGCCCCCCCCCCCCCCCCCTTCCTCGGCTCCGCACAAGTGCACTTTCCGAAATAATTTTTTGTCTACTTTCATTTTGGTCCTTCGCGTTTTTTCTCTAAAACCAACATTTAGCGAGTTATTCAGAGAAATTCCGTTTTTTTCACGTTTTCCAACAAAGTACCCTTTTTTGACCCCCCTCTTATCTCCGCCCCCGTTGGTCCTAGACCAAAAGTGTATATATCACTTTTCCTGGCAAATTTTGTGTACTTTAATTTTGAACTAAGGTACTTTGGGCCAAAAATCTAAATTTAGCGAGATTTTTCCAAAATTCTGAATTTTGGGCCGAAATTTTGGAGTTTTTTGCATTTTTGGGGGGGTTCCCACCCCCTAAGGTTGGTGGGAGATTAAAAATTCGGAATCTACGCCAAAAAATACATAAGAATCAGTCATAACCTCTTGGACACCAAATTTTTGACTAAACTCCCCTATTTAGGTCTCTATTGACTGGACTATACCTACGACAAATATGAACAAAATGCAAAAGAGAAATACACAAATTAAACATCTCAAATCGTACAATCAAAATTAGATATCAAGTCAAATGCAGTAAATCAACAAGAACGAGACACAAGAGGCATCATTAATACAAGTGAAAAACTTGAACAATCAATTTAGCACAAAAACACATTATACAAATTCAATTTAGGCAAAACAACTCGTAAAACGGTAAATTGCATGTATAGGTAGGTATGTGAAAAACATCAGAAGCATCGTTCCAGTTCAATTAATTTAACAGGGAAAGTACAAGTGCCAAATGCCAGCAGTATTCTTGTTCTATTATCAAACAAGCAAAACCACATTAATTGGTTTCTGATTCCTGCATCGTTGTTGCAGGGACGGACCTAGACAAAAAAATTGGGGGGGCAGACATGACATTTTGCCAACTCAACTGTAAAAATTTCCAACTCAAATTAAGTGGTATTTCCAAGTCTAATAAATCACGTAGAAAATGTAGGATATACCGATATACGGTCTCTAATACTAATTAAAAGCATTACCAAAATACCAACCTTGTGTTGAAGAAGAAGGAAGTGACTTTCCTATTAAAGAGTCCTTTTTTTATAGATTTTGCCGCAATTCCTCATTCCTTCAATAGTCGATTTATTACATTTACGATTTACCTACTTTCGCGGCATTCGCCAACTGGTAATGAAAATTACCAACTCTTGTCAAAATTGCCAACTAGTTAAGTATTGGAGGGGCAGCTAGCCCCCCCCCCTGCCCCCCCATAGGTCCGTCGCTGCGTTGTTGCATAAACAGAGCGTTTCGTATTTTTTTTCCATACTGCCATTCTTTCAAATGTACGGTGTGTTGCTTAACCATAGGGGTACGTCACCACAGTATAAGAATAGGTTGCGGATATTCTATCAGGTGAAATTGGGTGTTGCTTTACTTACCTAAGCAACAATAGTATATTATTATACGAGCATATAAAGTGTGCGATTATGACACGAGGTGAAGTTTGCAACACGAGCCGAAGGCGAGTGTTGTAATTTTTCCGAGTGTCATAATCGCCTTTATATGCAAGTAAAATACGCTATTTTATCTACGACTATTTAATTGAATAGAAAATGCGGCATCTGAATCAGTTTGAAACGTAGCAACTTCATACCGGTAGCGCAATGTACGCCTATGGTTTGCTTTGCGTTCGTTCATTCGTTGACGGTATTTAACCTCAAATCTAATTCAATGTATCGCAATGTACCTAAGTGGCGAACTAAATATGCAATTTATCTTAAGTTCCCAGAAGTCATTAATTCAACACGTAAGATTATTGCTAATATAAATGGTTGTCATTCATTTTTCATTGTTTTAGATTGTGACATAACCTATGGAAGTAAGGTGGATATTTATGTGATGTACCTATGTACAACTATTCTCTAAATCCGATCCCGATGTATCAATTATGCCTGCAGAAATTGTTACACAGCTGCCAAATGGAATACAATATTTTGTTTCGCATACCGGCATACATAATCTAATTTTTCAAAGACTTCGTTACGCTTCTCTGACCTGCATCCAAGAAGTTTCTTCCTCTTTTAGAAACGAAGTTTAAGCAATGAAAGCATAGTTTTATTGCAAATTTAAGGGCAAGAGGTGTTTTTTATTAGTTAACGTACATATTGTAGCCATCTATTTAAGTAATTTGGTCAATGCCTAGTATGTAAGACCTGTTACGAATTATCAATTCTTAAAATCAATCATGCAAAACTATGGTTAAGTGCTACGACAATTTGTATCCTTTATTGTCAACGAGTTTACAATATGTTATTGTTTTGTATCGTGGCACAATTTCGACAATACGACATATGTTGTACGAAACATATTTCTCTTCGTAAAAGGCTGAAACTTATAGGTTATACCTAGCATAATCTTCAAATGGGGCTTCCGATAATCCATTATGCTACAAATAATGCCTTGTGAATATGAAGGTATAGATACTTTAAATACAAACGAAAACCTTATTCATGCTCGTGCAGAATATTTGTATCAGCGAAGGGATCTGTCGTTAAGTAACGTTGCCTGAACTTGCCAATGACTTCAGGTATTTTACAAGTTTATTTCATCCCGTTTTATAAATATCGCACATATCTCGTCATAGGGGTGGATCAAGTTCCTGTATTAATTCTTTTTCAAATAAACCTACAAAGTTAAGCGTACGTAACCCGAAATCTCTCATTTCTAACCTAAGAAATGCTTAATTCAAAACAAAACTGACAGGTAGTACATACGAGATGGGCGGTTCTATTTTTAGTACATATGCAATTATGAACTTATACATATGCAATTATGAGAAATATATAGTGACATAAAGTAGTTGTATATAAGGATTTTAGAGGAACCGATAATAATGCATATCATAATTCCCTAAAATATAGTGACGTTATTTGAGCGTTATTTAATAGTCGTAGATAAAATAGAATAACAGCACGATTACATACCTAAAGTACTATCTACCTACCTGCAGATTGACTTTGGCTACTAATGCCCAGGACTGAAGCCTTTGAATTCCATTAGTTCATAAGTTTGAGGATTAAACAAAAACATACAATGCAAGCAGCCAGATGATTTATTTCTCCCAGCATGAATTAATTACAACAGTATTAGATAGATAATTATAAATGTTCCCAAAAATACTTAACACATCTTAATCTTAATTGTAGTACTTAAATATTGTTGTGTTTAATACAAGAAGTTAAATACTTAACTATAATAAATAATAGTATGTATTGTTTGGATGCATTAGTATTCTATATTCTACCTGCAAAAATTCGCTTCGTTCATATAGGTCATATTTTCTTCTCCTTACGTACCTTCATGAAATTATTGAGCAATCCTGTCAGGAAAGCTTCGTTTTCCCCAAATTCCTTTTAAGTTAGTCCAGGCTGGATCACGTTTCCCCCATGAACCTATTAGTACAGTACGTTTGAGTAATATTTTATATACCTCCTACTGCTCTTTCTGTAACCAGATCTAAAGTGACGGATTTTGTTGAATGAGTGGTATTTTGTGAAACGAACTTAAAAAACACAAGTGAGAAACATTCATATCGTCGATTAGTTTAAAACGAAGTCACTTTATAAGTAGTTACGTCTAAATTAGAGAAAAATAAGTTTGTATTCACCTCTAAAATTTCCCCAGCTATCCGAACGTTTTCCCCATCCACCGTTTAATCCTTTCCAGGCTCTCTTTTCGGCATCATTAGCGTCGGTTTCGGGTAAATTTCCAAATTCGTTATATTGAGGCTCTTGATCTTCCTGTTCGAGAAGCGCTGCCAGTTTAGCTGCGTATTCGTCATCTGAGGAGTATCGTTTTCCCCAACCACCCTAAAATAATAAAAAATGAAATACGGTTAAGTGCCTGTGATATAATTCTACAAGAATGTTATCAGAAACTTCTAACTTTTTGTTCGGTATTGTCGGTTGTGTTTTTGTTCGGGGAGAATCGTGCGCGAATTCGCAACGAACCGCGAGAGCATTAACGTTGAGCGGTGCGAAAAAGTTAAGTCGAACACCTGCAAATGACCGCGGGGTGTTTTTTTTTATTACGTTACAATTCGCGCCGAATCGTGAGAGAGAAATTCGCGTTGAAGTGTGATCGCAGGGTGGATTTGATTTTGTGTTATTCAAATTCGCGTCGACCCGCCAGCGCAGTTCAGTTTTATAGTTTTATATATTGGTGTGACCCTGGGTGTGACACTTGTCTTGTGAGAACTTCTTCTATTTTGGAGAGGTTTCGTGCTGATAAGGTAGCAAATTTGATTACGTGTAAGAACAATAGCGGAAGTTTTAAACGCAAAATTAAAATTTTTAGTGACGTTCACTCACAAAGGCTAGTTTACGGTTTACAAGCTATTACGTTAAATACGAACAATAGTGGAACCTTAAACCTACAAAGATAAAAGCAGTAGGACTTTAAACATAGTTGCGACATGGGAACGGCAGCCAAATGTGTCAGTTGTCGTAAGGAAAGGACGAACGACATATACCAACAAATACGAACTTTAACTTAGGGGAATTTTCAACAAACGGAGATCGACGGTAAGTCAAGCTAATACTATAGTTTTTCAACATAGTTCGGCCAAAATAATTATAAAACGAAATATGAGTTGTGAAAGTGATCACGTAGGGGCTTATTGCATTTAGTTTATTACGCAACCGAATCCAATGAATTTCAATCATGAGAAGGGGATTCTCTATGGAGAATATCGAGGAAATTATATTTTTTATTTAATATACTCATTCATTTAGTAAAATTTGAGTTTTTATTAGCGCCCATATTGACCGGCGATTTCCTATGTTAGTGGAGGTCGAATAGAATCAGCTTTTAAAGAGCATTTAAAAATTAGTTTATATCATATCATTATATCATTTTCATAAAATAAATAGGTCCGTTCCACATGAAACTTGTTTAGGAAAGAAAAAAATGAAAATAATAAATATGGGAGTCGGTGCCGCCCCTAAAATTTTAAATTTACAAATGAATAAAATGATAACGATACAGAAATGAATGACTGTAACCATTAATATTCTAGAACGTTTCACGTTCAAATAAAAAGCGTGGCGCTTCGGGAAACACGTGCAAATGCGAATTATGAAAATGATAAAATATTACCTTTGAAATTGTTCATCTAATAGCGGATTATGCAAATGTAACATTGGTAGCACTTGCATGAGCAGTTACTCTTAATTATTTAAAAAAAGTCATAAAACAAACCTGAAGATTTTGCCATGCGCGCTTATCGTTGTAAGGGTAGTAGAGGGGATAGGAGGAATCTCTTTTGCCCCAACCTCCTTGCAAATTTGACCATGCGCGCTTTCCCCAACTGTGTAGATTTCTGTTCCAGTCTTTTTTCAACATACTCGATTCCAACTGAAAAAGACAATCGTTATTCGAATTTGGAATAGCAAATTAATATATGAATGAAGGCTTGATTTCATGCTGTTCTAGTAGTAGGAACCTATAGCATTTTTGTGTCAGAACCGCTAGTACGACCAAACACAGGTCTTTGATTTGACATTTATTCTTATTCTGTTCCAAAATTGATGGTTGCTTCTTATTTTCCATTAGCCATTCTGTTTAACAAATAGGAACCTGTACCTATTTAACACACTAACTTGAAAAATGTATTTCAAAGTCGTTATTTTACTAAGCCTATATATCAACTAATTAACATTAACGCATTTTTTGTTTGTCTGTCTGTCTAGTTGTTCGTAAGAAATGTTGCGGTTATGATAGAATTTCTAAACCGATCAGGGATTTGATGCGACTATACGGCTCGTAGGGTTTATTATCTTGTATTCGTGAATTTGATACATCATTCGGCGGAAACAAGATAGTTGCACACTCGAGGGCTTGACCACGCAATTAATTTAGCTTTCTAATTAGTAATTACAAATAAAAATCACGTACGATATTCATCATGTAATTTTTGGGCGCATTCGTACAACTTTACAACTCGCCGACATTCCCTTACGTTGATTATGCTGTAAAACTGCCTTAATATTCGTGGCACAATTACACTGACCATAATTTAAACGATACGTATTCTTCGATGTGTCGTGCTTTAAGAAAGCACGTTTTAAAATTCATCATCATACCTAATGTGCACGTAACATCTTTCAACGTGAATATGCCGCTTTAAGTTTGGCTTATCGTGAGTAGCGCAATAACATTGTTCACAAATTAAATGTTTGAGAAGGTTGTGTGTGTTAATAGGCGGCACTTTAATCGAACGATAAATTACACTGTAATTACACTAAAAGCAGTGATAGAAAGCTATTCAAAACGGAGAGTGTCGAAGAATGAAGTATATATTTCCTATTTTTTGTTGTGTAATTGCAATGTTCACAATTAAAGACTTTGGAAATGTTACGCGTTAGACGATGTTAACCGTAAAAACTACAATATTGATTACTTTTGGCCCTTGTAAATAAACAAAAAAGCGGTTTTATCCCACCAATAGTAATTATAATGTTCTGCCACTAGAGGTCTCACTGTTAATCTGAGTCGCGAATTGGATAAACTATACCAATTCCCTTCGCGGCTGTGTCTCACGTCCCAGCACATAAAAATAACTGCCAAATTACGTTAAACTCACCCCTTACGGCAATACAATACACAGATTAAATTCTTCTCCAGAAAGTTCGGCAATAAACGATCCACTTAGCTATAATATCATGAATACAATTAATTAATCCTCAACGCAGGTAATTGAATGGCAAATACGTAAAAACGCTTTTTGTTTACAAATAGGTTACGATAATACCCACAGGGTATTTACGTGATGGACTTTAAAATGCAATCGATGATCGTTAAATTTAATACAAACAAATTTCTATAATTGTTTTACATAGGTACTTATATAAACCTTTGTGTTCAGTGTGTTTTATAAGTGTAAGTTTATCAAAAACAAAAAATTGACTGTAAAGGCATGCACTGATTACCATTTCAGAATAACTCATCTCTTCATCGGCAAGTTATCTGTCGTTGTAGTTATGTTAAACTGTAGTTGACTACATTGTAGGATTGTTTGTTAGGGTGCTTGAGACGAAAAAGGTCTACCCCGAATGCCTTTGCAACGGTGCACTTGAAAACGAGCGTTAGGCTATTAAATAGAAAAAAACAGAGGTAAGTAATTGTTGTGTTAAGTTACGTAGTTGGACAATGTTTGATTTATGTTTAAATAACCGCATTAGAATTTGTTTTCATGTGAAATATTTCAATTTTTAAAGTAAATCTGGTGGGTTTTTACGAATAAACACAAAGTGAGATCGTTTCGTTTGAATTTGTATTTCAGTATTTGCTTTCCCTTTTAGAAATTCGTGTAGATACGTAATTGCTTGTTTTAATTTTATCGCTTTTGTAAATTACTCAATTTAGAAAACGTGCTAGAAGTAAGATACATCTGGTCGATTTTTGCGTGATAAAGAAAAGGTTATATTTGGTCGTTTGCAATAAGAAGTTTTATTGTTAGGTGAAATTTAATTAATGTACGTGTGGTTTTGATTTTCTCAGCGTAAGTGAGGACGCGGAGCTCGTTGTGTCGAAGGGCGTTATTCAGGTCTAATTGTGATTGGCGGTTTATATGAAAATTAATAAAGAAGGAGATTATTTTATGGTGGAAGTGGTGGATTCTTTAAATACGGGAGACAACGTTTAAACTGGGTGACGGTTTGAGTGCGTGATATTTGTTATGCGGCTCTATGTGTATAATAAAGTTGTGTAGAAGAAATTTAGTAAACGTATTGAGAGATTTAAGTGGAAGTTACTAAATTGACAAGATGAAAATGGTGTGTAAGTAGAAATGAATGTAAAATGGAGAGCTCAATTTTTAGTACAGGGAGTTACACTTACAGACTTACACTATACACATGCGAAATAAAGCTGTCATCCGAGTTTGATGTATTTTATAAATAATTTGACAAAACTCGACTTTTTTTCCCAAATATATTCATCTAGATATGTATAGGCTCAAATCAATCAAAGTATGCAAAATACAGATTGAATGAAATTTTCACAAGACTTGTTGACGTTTTAATTTGCAGCCATCAGCTCTATAAATACCTATACGCACACAAATTGATGGATAAAATTTCGACGGCTAAATTGCACTGTAAATATTTAGGATTCGCTCTGTAAAGTGTCTGTCATTTTACTCATTAGTATAAATTGGCGAGAAAATCTCTATGCAAGCCATGGTGCCATGATGCACGCCTAGAGGCGGCTACTATAGATGATTGGATAGTTTCTCATTTCTCAAATAATAAATTATCCGTTTAAACATTTGGTCCAATTATTCTATAATGGGTACGCTATTGTTAATTGTAGCCACTTTCTCTGTTCGTGCGTGCGCCCGAGGTCTAAACTACTCCTACAGATTTCAATACAGGGTCTTTCTTTTAAAGGGACAATTAGCCTTATGGGAAAGTAGAAAAGATCGCTTATAAAAATGTACAGGGTGTCCCATTAACAATGGTCACAGGCCATATCTATGGAACCGTTAATTGCATAGCTTCGAGAAAAAAATTTTGTTAATAATAATAATAATAATAATAATAATAATAATAAACCCTGTGGGTTCGGGGATAGAATAGGCCCACTCTCGCCCTAGAGATCGTAAAAGGCGATCAATGGGCACTAAAGGTGACAAATCCAACCACCTTTAGTACTTACCTACCCACTTAACTTTCCAACTCCCACGCCCATGTTCCCGACTCTCCTACATATACACAACACGCAGGTGGATATTTGCTTACGCGAATATCTTGAAGAGTGACGCCTTCACGTGTTCCTAGTCACCCCGTATTCTCATGAAAATGGAGTTTAAACAAAGCCTCGGAAAAATGCCGCTACCTGAGGAGCGTCAGGGCACGTCTGGAGCTATCGCTGGGCGTTGCAGCATGCGAGCCGATAGTGACGAGTTGGTGATCAGGCGGCCGCTCGTCGGGATACCCGAAACCTTTACAGCCGAAAGAAGACCACGAAGACGACAACGACCACTTGAAGAGGACCACCAAGAAGAAACCTTTGTGCCTGCTTCTCAACCGCTTGTGGATGGGACCAGCGCAAAGGAAACCTCCAAAAGACGTATGAAATGGGACGAAGGGACGAATCGCTTCATTTTCGGTACGTATCTGGAGATCAAGAAGATGGAAACGGACAGGACAGCATACAGAGGTAAACTATATCACGCGTTCATTACACAATACCCACATTTAGCACACTTAACAGAACAACGCATTGCAGACCAACGTAGAGTTATTATTAAAAATACACTCCTTACATTAGACACACAGGAACAAATCAGGCACGAAATTGAAGCACTACTCAACACAAACAACACACTCGCCGTACAAGATAATACATCCGTTCTAAACAACTCTGAAATACAGACATTTGCGACACTGCAGCCATCGATAGATACAAATAATCACACGAACCAAACACTCACATCCCTTCAAAAAGAATTCGACAATGCATTGTTAGAATTCTCAAACACTGACCCAACACAAAGACCACGAATACCTAAACAAAGTCACACTACAAAATTACGCACACTTTCACAAACATTAAATGACCACATTTTACCAAATTACATTAATGATAACACAAGCTTACATCGACTACACTTTGTTGTGTATTGCGGTGCGGTTGCAGTTTCTAGATGTAACGGTGCAAGAATCGCAATAAACAAACAACAGCACACAACAAAAAAACGCTCACCCCCGGCCTGGGCAAAACGCCTGATAAATCGCATCGATGACATCAGACGTGACTTGGGTCGGATTACACAATACATACAAGGAACTCGTTCTTCAAAACTAACACGACAAGTACAAAACATAACTACAAAACTAAACAATCACACCACACGAGAACAAAATACAAACTATAACGAACATAGAGATACACTGACACAAAAACTATCAATATACACAAACCGTCTAAAACGCTATAGGGAAACTGCAGATAGAAAGCGCCATAACACACAATTTAAACATAACGAAAAACTATTTTACAGATCACTAACACAAAACAGCACTAATGAAAAACTCATTCCACCATCTCTACACTCACTCCAGCAATACTGGTCTGACTTATGGACCAAAGACATTAAACACAATCCACACGCCCCGTGGATTACCACAGAAACCACACGCACTGAATACATTACCCCTATGAATAACACAAACATCACTATAACAGACATCATTCAAACTATTAATCACTTACATAACTGGAAAAGTCCAGGCATTGATAACATTCACAACTTTTGGTGGAAATATTTTACCTACACTCACTCTTACATTGCACAACAATTTACTGAACTTCTTAATTCACCAGAGCGCACTCCTGCATTCTTTACACAAGGTATCACTTACATGCTTCCAAAAGACAACAATACGCAAGACCCATCTAAATATAGACCAATTACATGCCTTCCTACAATATACAAAATCCTTAAACAAAATATACCAACACTGTACTGATAACAACATTCTATACGAAGAACAAAAAGGGTGTAATTGAGGAATTGTGGAATATTGTTGCTGACTTTGTATATTGAGAGTACTTGTTTAACCAAGAGTGTGGTACTGAATCGAATGCTTTTTTGTAATCAATGTATGCAGTGTGTATGTTTCGTTTGTTATGTCTGGATTGTTCAAGTATAACAGAGTCTATAATGAGTTGCTCCTTACAGAGGCTGTAAGCAACTACTTGAACAATCCAGACATAACAAACGAAACATACACACTGCATACATTGATTACAAAAAAGCATTCGATTCAGTACCACACTCTTGGTTAAACAAGTACTCTCAATATACAAAGTCAGCAACAATATTACACAATTCCTCAATTACATAATGTCATGTTGGAACACTACGTTAACGCTTACACTAAACGACACAAAACTTA